CTTGTTGTACTTCCCAGCATCCAGAATTGTAAGAAATAAATTGTTGGTGTTTGTAAGTCATCAAGTGTATGGTATTCTATTACAGCAACCCAGAGGGACGAAGACAGAAATGGAYATCAGGAGAGGGGTGCTATTGTACCTAAAAATGTGAAAGTGGCTTTGGAACTAGGTATAGTGTGGAGGCTGGAAGAGTTTTGAGGTGCATGCTGGAAAAAAAGCCTGCATTGTTATGAATGGTGGAAGTGATTCTGGTGAGGGTCCAGAAAGAAAGAACAACCGTAGAAAGAGCTTCAGTTTTCTTAGCGAACACCTCAACAATCCTGAACAGAAAGTTGTTTGGAATATGGTCAATAAACACCTTCTGATAGGGCTGGGGATGTGGCTCAAGTGATAGCGCGCTCGCCTGGCATGCGGGCGGCTCAGGTTCGATCCTCAGCACCACATACAAACAAAGATGTTGTGTCCGCTAAAAAATAAATATTAAAAATTCTCTCTCTCTTTCATTTTTTTTTAAAGCCCTTCTGATAAAGCCTCGTGTGACAATGAGGAATATATTACTGGAAAGTGGAGAAAGGGTGATCCTTGTTATGAAGTGACAAAGGACTTAGCTAAGTCATGTTTGTGTTCCAGAGTTTTATGGAAGGGAGAACTTGTGAATGATGAAATCAGATCCTAGCTGAAGTTATCTCTAAGCAAAACGTTAGAGGTGTAACACGGCTCCTCTGGGTGCTTGCAATGAAGTGTGAAAACAAAGACGTGACTTAAAGACAGAATTGTTAAGCAAAAACAACAACTTAAAGATTGAGGAAGTTCTCAGTCTATCCTATATCAAAAAATAAATAAATAAATAAAAATAAGAACACGAAGGGCGTGTCCAATGACCACTTTATAAGGAGATCAGTTTGGATCAGATATCTCAACAGAAGCCAGGACCTATTTTCCAAAACAATGGAAGAATGATGGAGCTGCTACTCCTATCAATGACTTAAGGCACAAGCGAGAGTGAGAGTGAGAGGAGCAGTTTCAAAGCAACCGTGGCACCTGAGGGCCTTGGGCCTGCGCTGCATATCACAGCCTTCGCGGTTGCACTCTGGCACCATTCCTCAGCCACCCAGATGCAGTGGAGCCCGGCAGGCCAAAGTAGCAGCACACCTCCAGAGGGAGCAGGCAGCAATCAATCTCTCTCTCTCTCTCTCTCTCTCTCTCTCTCTCTCTTTTCTTTTCAAACCCCAGGGGCTCCTTACCACTGAGCTACACCCCCAGGTTTTGATTGTTTTTTGAGACAGAGTCTCACTAAGTTGTCAAGGCTGGTCTCAAACTTGTGATCCTCCTGCTTCAGCCTCCTGAGTCGCTGGGATTATASGTATGGGCCACCCAGATAAGCTAGCTTTTATGGAATCCACACAGTACAGTCCRCCCTGACCCACAGAGTGCAGAGGATGTGGGGGAGCATAGAAAAGCTGCCTCCACTGGGTTTCAAAGGACAGAGGTACATAGAGCCAAGACTGCATAGCACAGCTCTGGCCTGGGAAAACTGCAGCAGCAGGGAAGGACTGCTACAGAAAGCTGCTGTGGGGCTGTCTCACAAGCACTGAGGGTGACGTTTCCACCCCAGTGGTCCTGGAGGGAAGAACTCTGAGAGTCAAAAAGTTTTATTTTCAAGCCTTAATATCTAATGGAATTTCCCCATTAGGTTTTGGACTTACCTGGGACATTGTTTCCCCCATCTCTCCTCTTTGGAATGGCAATGGCCATCCTCACCCTTATATTTTGGATGCACAGAATTTATTTGGCTTCACAGCGAAAGAGCGATTCATTTCAGGATAAAAATATATCTTCGTCTAGGGTTACCAACGTAGTTCATTGATCTTAGCCTCACTCCTTTGATTTAGATGATATTTAGATGAGGCTTTGGATCTGCAGACATTTGAGTTGATGCTGAAATACATTAAGACTTTTAAGGCTGTTTGGATRTATGAATATGTTTTATATGAGAGAAGGATAATTTGGGGGGGCTTAGGGGCAAAATGCTATAAACTGAATGTGTTTCTCCCAAATCCATAGTTGAAATCTTAACCTCTAAGGTGATGATTTTAGGAGGTGAAGGCTTTCAAGGGGGGAGCCGCCATGAATGGGACTAATGCCTTAATAAGAGAGAGAGCCAGAGAGCTCCCTCACCCCTTCCATCATGTGAAAGGTCAAAGCAAGATGGCGGCCATATGTGAAAGAGAAAGAGGACCTTCACCAGACACCAAATGTGCTGGCACCTTGATCTCAGGCTTCTCAGCCTCCTGAACTGTAAGAAAAAAAGTTTATAAGCACCCCAGTTCATGGTGTTCTATTAGAGCAGCCTAGGCAGACTAAAATAAATAAATTATGCTAATGAACTGTCATCTTTAGCAGGGATTATGTTCCACCAATGGCTTTTTTTAAATGTGTGATATTACCCCAGGCATTTCAAGTTCAGGTTTGTATTGTGCTTGGATTCACACAGTGTTCTCTGGATTCGGAGCTGGCTCTGCTACATGTCACATTCAGTGTGTGACTGAAAAAAGGATACTCATTTTTTTCTTGTGTCTTTTATTTCTGAAGAGTGCACAGCATACTTATGTGTTCAATCTATTACCATAATGCTAATGACCCCAACTAATATTCTAGATACTATAAATTAGTCCTTCTAGTTCCTATAAACTAGTCCTTAATAGCAACAAATAAGCCAGTCACAGCCTTTGGGGTCTGAAATATCTGTACATGATTGAAGGTCAGAGTTGCCTCCATTTTCAGGTGGAGCCCAGAAGGCTATTAACTAGCGTTAGGGATCACTGTCACACTAGGTTACGTCTGTATTCCCCAACATTTCTGGAAAGGTTTCTGTCCACCTTGTCATATCACTTTGAAAATTTGTCCTTGAGAACAATCCAAGTGAAATATAATGAAACACTAAACAGAATGCTGTGTGGTACAAAGTTTTCAGAGCCATGAGGCATTCCTCACAACAGTGCTATAAGTCAGACCCCTTTCTTAATCATGTTTCACAAATGAAGACAGTAAGGTGAAGAGAAAGGTGCGGCATGATGGAATGCACACAGACAATTGTATAAGAATTGTGTAAGTTAAGAATCCTGTTACCATGGGGACCACTTCTCACTCCCTAACACTGATTATCAGACAAGACAGTGTTGTCTCATGAATGAAAACCCTGTTGAAGCAGCACATGGTAAGCAAAAAAAAGAAAGTCTCAAATCTGTGGGTAGGGACTCAAGAGTCTCAAAGAACCCCTGAGTTATTTTCTTTGAAATACATCCTCTTTTCAAGCCTGTGGATTTCTCTCTTCGCCATCCTCTTCCCTGACAAAATCTTTAGACTGCATTGCACAATTTCATTTCCCTAAATTTGTTTGGAGATACATAATTCCGAAAACTTTAGGGAGGATTTCATCTAGGAACTCTTCATAAAGAACTAGGATACGACAAGAGTACATGGATCACTGAGGTTTCGGACATGCTACATATAAGCCCTGGATATTTGTTAAGGCATTTGTGGAGAGAACATAAGCTATCATCATATCTTGCTGGAGGCATAAGTCAACTCTCAGTCTTCTCTTTCAAAAAGAACATCACTTCATTCAGTAGATAATTTAAAACCTGATCTTTTAACAAATTCTTCCTTTCTAATGTATGCTACTTTGATATCATCAGATAAAAAGAGAAATAAAGCTTCCCTGTCCCCAATACCACCCAAGAAGTATGCTCCTTCCTACAAAAAAAAAAAAAGGGCACACTTCCTTTGACAGTCACTCTGACCTACTGACTTAGTAAAAGCACCTTCTAAAGTAAACTTCTTAAATTTTAGTAAATTAAAGAATATCACACAAAAAAAAAATTTCAAAGACTAACCCCATCACTTCTTTGTAGATGCAAAAACTAAGGTCCTACTATGCTGTGGGTATAGCTCAGTGGTAGAGTGCTTACCTAGCAGATACAAGGCCATCTCCAGCGTCATTAAAAAAAAATAAGTAAAAAAAAAAAAAAAAAAAAAAAAAAAAACAGCAGTTCAGGGGTTAAGGCAAGAGGATTTCAAGTTCAAGGCAACTTAATGAGACCCTAAACAACTTAGTGAGACCCTGCCTCAAAACTAAAATAATAATAATAATAAAAAGTACTAGGGATATAGTTCAGTGGTAAAGAGCCCCTGGTACTGACTGTAATCTCCAGTACCAAAAACAAACGACAAAAATACCCCGGAGGCTCAGGTAAGTTAARAGATTTGTACAAGATCACATTTAATTATGGCAGACCTGGGTATGGGAAGCAATTAGTCATAGACACCTTCTCCCCCCCCCCCCCCMSCAAAGTGACCTTCACCTGCTGGTGCCACCAGCAGAGAGAACACTGTATAAGAATGACCCAGCTCACTGCTGGGCACATCAAAGGCACCGGCCACCAACTCACAGAATAAAAGTCAGTGTTGTTCTCCTTGTCTCTCATGGAACTCCAGGAGACACCCCAGATAAGACAGCTGACCCTTACCAGGATCGAAACCAGGAAATGCTCATGAACTGAACGCCTGTGGCTGCCCACCATGACAGGCTGTATATCATCCTAAAGACAGATCAGCTTCAACACAACTGGAGGGCCTGGGGCATTTAGTTCTACTCTCCTGTTGATCAAAACAGATAGGCTGTCCAGGCAAACCAGACAAATCTTATTATTCTGCTCAGAAGTATAAGRAACAACTGGTTGATCTCCCTGATCAAAAGACACAGGAAGAAATTACTCCTTTATGAGACATTCCACTTGGGAGGGAAGACAGGAGGATGCCTGGGGCAAGGTGAACATAAGAAAGGACAGAGAGGCAGCTGACAGCACAGAGAATGGAGCCATAAAAACAAAGGTGTGTAATGATGGTATGCACACAGACAATTGTATAAGAATATATATATATATATATATATATATATATATATATACATATATAATCTTTTGACATAAAAAGCAGATAGTGCATTAGTTTGACACAGTTTTTCCTACTCCCTTGCATGCCTGGAAACAAACAGATGGAATCTCTTATTGCCAAATTCTAATGCATTTCATGTTCATGCTCAGCATAGAAACATTGGGCTTACCAAAAGCCAGTAAGTTGCTGATCGTTTAAGATATACATGGAGGAGTGACTATCAAAAGTCCACAGCTAGATACTCTGGCACCCCTGTAGCAAGGAAAACACTCTACTTAGGTGAATTTTTACAAAAAGCAGCAAGTATGTGGGTCCAAACATGTAAACTGAAGATGGTCAATGTCCATAAAAAAATATTTACTTTTTCACTATAAAAAATACAGAAGCAAACCCCTAAGGGTAATAATTCATATCTGTTACTTGATAGGGCTCATTATGAGAACTGTAGCAATTAATGTTTATCCTAAAGGATAGTCAACAGAATAGCTATTATAGTCAGACATTAAGGCAACCTAGAAAATAAACCTCATAAAGGCTTTAGTCTGTGTTATTCTGATACTTTTGGAAATTACTCCTTAAACACTAGACCCCAAAACTCTTGAGTTGAAAAATTTTGATTCCTATCCACCAGCCACCTCAGTGCCTGGGCTTCTTTCTTGGACTGCTGGAAGCTTGGTATCCACATCTCTCGCAGGGAGTTCCTACGCGGAGCTAGAGGAACTGGAGATGAGAAAGCAAACGTGGTAGGTTCTGGGCAACTCAGGTGTGTAACTTCAGCCTTCCATTTTTTGGGGGGTAAACCCTGCAAGAGACAAGAGGAAAAAGAACTTAAGACAGGATAAGGAAGCCCAATTTCCATGTTTCCATCTCATAATAATAGAACACAACACATACTTTCCCTAAAGCAAATCTCTTCCCTGATAATGTCTCAATAGTTATACTCTCAACAGTTGAAGGGGAAAGAAAGCATATAATCCTTATGGAGACTACTCTGTGTACCACACACACTGCAAGACAGCTGCATAGATTGTCTCATTTAATTCTTATGACGAACAAATTAAATAAGTACTACTACCTTATTTTAGAGAGGTAGGAACTAGGGTTCCAAGAGTTGTAAAAACTGTCCCCCAAAACAAATCTTGATATAACTAAAATGTAACCTAGTTCTCTCTAGATTCTAAAGAATTCTCCTTGCTTTTGTTATTATTTGTTGCCTCAGTTATGTTCCCTTTACCTGAATGTCACTGCCACTGTGATCCTCCCTGCTGCTATGAGCTTGGTCCGTGCCCTTTCCTGGTTTATTTCCATGGTCTCCTGACCAGTGATCCTCATTGTCCTTGATTCACTGCCAGCCTATACTCAGCAGCTGTTTGCATTCCGAGTTTAAGACCAAGTTTTTTGATGACCTACAAATTTAAGATTTGGTTCTTTAATAATTTTAAAAGAGAAAAGAAGGAAAGGAGAAAGAGAGAAAGAAAAAAAAAAGAAGGAGGAGGAGGAAGAAGAGGAGGAAGAGGAAGGAGGAAGGAGGAGGGAGAAAGAAGGAAGAAGGGAGAAGGAGAAGAAGAAAGTGAAAGAGAGAAACTCCAGAATCTCAGCCTGAACGTACCCACCTAATTTCATTTGCTTATTAAACGCCATTAAAATAGGAGTAAAATGATTGTCTTTGGAAGTTATGAACCTGGAAGAATTGAGAGACGAGAAGATGGCAGAATTGTAGTAAAATGCTGGGCACTAGAATAAACAGGCGGGACAGCAGTAAAGAGTGCAGCAGCAGAAGTGTGAGATGCAAAGCAGCCTATTTTACACTGCAGAACCCCAAAGAATAAGAGGCAACAGATACCCCTGGAAGTGGAAGAGGGGCAACAAATTTAAAAGAATTAATAGAAAGTCTGATAAAGGTTTGAAAGACAAAGCTGAAAAATATTCAAAAACTAGAAGGAAAAAGTATTTGAAGATTGGACCTCTAGGATCAGTTTAACACCAGACCACCAATCCATGAGATCCACTATGCAAATATGAAAAGTTCCAGCAAAGAGACAGGAAAGGGAAGAAATGCCCAAGGAAATAATTCAAAGAAATTTCCCAAAGGTGGAAATCCTTGCTTCCAGATATAAAAGTCCCAGTGAGGGCCCAGACAATCACAAGAATCTCTTGCCAAAATACATTTTTATGAAATTTCCAAAGAAAAAGATTCTATTGTTGTAGGGACAGATGAAGCAAGGCACCGAAGATAGCAGGACACTGTTTTATTTGGCTGCAGCCAGGTTCAGAGGGCACAGCTTTTGTTGTAATCAATCCCCTGAACCCTGAGTTCAGGTAGTTTCAGAGTTTCATACCCAGCATATAAGCAGAGGGGCTCAGAAGTTCACATTCTGCAGAAGTTCACATAAAAGCAGTTTTTTTCTTTCACTGTTCTGGGCAAGTTAACCCTTCAAGGACAACAGACAACACCTGAGAAGGGGAGAGCTTCTTCACCCCTTTCTCTCCTCCCCCTGCCAGCTGTTACTGTGGAGCCCAAATGGCAACTTCTCTTCTCTTAGGAATGTAGACATCTCTGTGAAGCCCCAGCTCAAGGCCAGAGGCCTTGTTTGCACATTTCTACAAACTACTACACTGGATACATATTTGTGAGAAACTAGTAAGGGGGTGTCCAGCACCTGGAGTGCTGATTTCTTCCTGGCCAGTGGCCAAGTAAAACAGGGCAACACGAAAATAGGAAGTTTATCTACATTGAACTCTTTTGCTGACAGTCCTAAAATCAGCCATGGTGAAGATTTCTGGAGAAACCCAGTTAAGTCTTTTCTGTGGAGAAAATGGGTACTACTACACTACACCTCCCTGGTAGGACAAGACTAATTCAAGGACCAGAAGTTAGGATGGTTTGGGATTTCCTGATAGCAATACAGGAAGTTAAGAATCAATGGTGAGATTCACTGAAGAATGTAAAGTTTAGTGAATAAAACTAAAACTACGGAGAAAAAGGATAGCTGCATATCTTCAAAATATTTCACCAAAAGTACTTTTAATTACTCTGGTGGTCTGGTACTTTTTACACATGCCCACTAATTATTTGATATTTCTCTCTTAAGGAGATAAAGTTTAATTCCTCTCCCTTTGAATCTGAGCTGGACCTAGTGATTCATTAAGTGAAAAAAATGAAAGTCAGTTTTTCATAGTGGAAAAACCCAGTAGACACCAGCCTTAATGAAGTTAGTACTATCAGTAATGTCATGTGGCTATCATGCACCCTCTGAGATCAGACACAATGAGGATGCTTTCTCTTCTTTAGCATTATTTCCCAAAATCTATAACCCAAGCGTGAACTTGAGAGAGAAAACATTAGACAAACCACATGAAGGGCTGTTTTATAGAATTATGACCAACACTGTTCAAAAGCCATTAAAAATAAGGAACGTAGAGATCACAGATTGAAGGAGACTAAGGACAGATGATGGCTAAATACAACCTAGAACCGGGATATGGTCCTGGAAGAGACAAAGTCTATTAGGAAAATATGATGAAAAATGACTAATGTTTATAGCTTAACCAAAATTAAAATTGTTGTTGAAAAATGTACCATGATTATGTAAAACATTGACATTAGAAGCCAGGTGAAGTGTGCACAGAACTCTGAGCTTTCTTTTTAACTCTTCTGTAAACAAATTATTTAAAAAAAAAAAAAAAAAAAAAAGCTTTTGAAAGGCACTGCAAAATGCCTTCAAAATTCTTAGAAAATTTATGTCTGTTTTCATCGTTTACGCTCAAATTATTGCTTAAATGTTCCAGTGGAATGAAGACATTTTTATATACTCTCTCAAATATCTCTTCAGAGGAAGCTAGTAGAGCAGAACAGAATTGAGTAAGGAGGTCCCAAGGTGGTTACCAAAAACAACTTTGAGAAGACATCGTTCATCTTTATTGACTGGTAAGTACAAAGGCAGCCAGGCAGTATCCCGTTGAACTGAAGAATCAGGTGCAAGCAGCTAAGAACTATGAAAGGGGAAGCTGGGGTTCAATATAAAGAACCATGTAACTGTCCAAGCTGGCAAAGGATAAAATAAGCTGTCTTAAAAATAATGAAATCACAAGGTGTGGTGGTGCATGCCTATACTCCCAGTGGTTCCAGCAGCTGAGGCACGAGGAGAGTGAGTTCAAAGCCAGCCTCAGCAAAAGGCGCTAAGCAGTGAGACCGTCTCTACATAAAATACAAAATAGGGCTGGGGATGTGGCTCAGTGGTCGAGTGTCCCCTAGTTCAATAACCAGTATCCCCAAAATAATAATAATAAATAATAATAATAATAATAAAATCATCAGCACCAGAAATTTTCTAGCACAAATTAGGGCACAACTTGTTCACAATATTTGAATCATCAGTTAGCAGGCAGCTGTACTCATCACATAACCTTCAGTGGCCTTCTCAATACGGACCCTGTATGACTGTTTACATGAGACCATTGGAAATGACAGTCTATTCCACTGCCAGCCACCTGAGAAGACTCCACTCGACAGTACAGGATAAGGTTCCATCTGAAGGTGACATAACAGAGGAAAGAATCCTATAAAATGGACTCTTTCACTCCAACATTCTGCCAAAAACATTTCACAGTATGACCTGAAGGAAGTGTGTTTGATGAAATCATTATGGCACTTTTAGAAATAACTAAGTTTTGGTATTCCGTTCTAGCTGAGATCTTGGGAAGAAAAACAAGCTAATTCTAAAATATGATTTTTAAAAGATTTTCCTTCCAAAAAAGAATATGGCTCCTTCTTCAACAAATGAAGAAAGAAATCAGATAATCCTCAAATTCTGAACTTTTATTGAGTCTACTGGAGAACTGAATCCCAGAGAGAGACACCCTTCCATGGAGAGGTGGATACATGATCTGCTTCACCTTTGGCAGAACACAGGGGAAAGATGTGGTCACCATACAGACAGGTAATAAGAAATCAGGTAAAATTCTAACCCTTCCTTAAGTGTGAAGTATCGGCTACCCTGTCAGTCTGGCAGAGCTGGGAGGTCCAGTTGCAAAAGGAAAGTTCTAACTCACTCAAGAGCTCTTTGCCATGCCTCTCATTCAATGCCAAGAAGGAAGACGAGGGTGGGGAGAAAACTGGAAAGGGCCCCCACCTTGGCACAGTGCAGTGGCAGGAGGAAATCAACTTGTGCTTGGAAACATTCAATCAGCCTTCCCAACCTCCCCAGACCCTTCTTTGATAAAGTGAAAAAAGCCTTATGCCACTGAAGGAGTAGTAAGAAATCCTTCTGCCCCCAGATACAAGAGAAAAATCTATTATCTGCAGGGAATGGGGGGGGGGCGGGGGCGGGTCAAAGCAAAACTCCTCTCTCCTAGTTGGGAAAAAGTTCAAAACTCTGTTGGGCCTAGGATCCTACAGTGATACCAGAGGTGACCGACACTGGTGAGGGACACCCAATCCAACCAAAACCACAAGGCACTGTTTAGCTGCCTTGGGAAGGAGAGGCTGGAACACTAGAAAGCTTCACCACTGAGACCTAGGGATTGAGGGCCTGCCTAGACCTGGGGCTGCCATACTGCCAACATGAGCCTACCATGAAGTAACAGGAGCGATGCAGGAATCAATAAAAGTTGAGAGTGGAGGATAAAACCTGAGAAAAAAAAAAAAAACTCTAGCACTTCAAACCTGACTAAGCATGGGTAATAGCAAGGCTTAGTTACTAGATAAATGTTATCACTGAACAAATTTGAAGCCTGTGGAGTACGAAAGGTAATAACACAGATCCCAAGTCTAGCTCAACTTCCTTACCCACTCACAGCCTG